GCGGTCGTCCACCTCGTCCACCCCCAGGCGGTCGTCCACCACCACCACCTCCATGCGGTCGTCCACCTCGTCCACCCCCAGGCGGTCATCGACCACCACCACCTCCATGCGGTCGTCCAACCGGTCCACCACCAAGCGGTCGTCCACCACCACCTCCTCCGCCTCCTCCTCCACCACCACCCCCACCACCACCACCACCTCCTCCACCACCACCTTCGTCTTCCGAACCTCCACCAGCACCTTCAACAACTAATTCTTCACCAAGCTCATAATGAACAGCTCCTTTATCAGGTGCAAAAATGAATGTTAATAAATACTTGAATACTTAATAACATCAGGACTATATGAAAAAATATATATCAATTTGAACTTGCTATAATTATTGTTTTTCTTTCATAACCAATAAGCAAAATGTAGTCTTATTTAACAAACAGTATCAATAAGATAATGTTATTGCCTAATCGTATCTAGGAATTCTATCATCAATGATACGTGATTAATCAGGGAATTCCCCCGAAACTCGATCGATTTATTTTCTGCACTGATTGATCATTGTTTCTTTTATGTAATTAAGATATAATCGAAAGAATATATAAAAAGAATATATGATATGTGTGGCGTTACACATTCAGAAAGTTTTCAACATTCTTCTTTCGTTCACACACAATTTATAATTATTCCATATGATATTATTATTATAATTAATTTGCGTAATCAATATTTTTCAACAAATATTCTTCTATTACTTCTGATAATATCTTTTCTAATTCCAACAATTTTTTTTAAATGTATGACATTACAGATAATTTATGATACAATCTTGAAGATAATAATTCTAGTTAATAATTCTAAAGCAAAATAAGAAGAAGTAAATCATAACATGGATTAAAATGTTTCGTAGATAGAAATTTAATTTTGAATATCTATCGTATACATTTGATTGCATCTCTGTTTACAAAATTTAATCTATCCACTCGAATATATCCATTCTATTTGTAATCATTAACAATATTATGATTCTATTATCTTTTTATTTCTTATATTTTGTCTGCTCTTTTACTATTTCTATTATTTTATTAGAATTATAAACTATCAGTTAATTAATCCATCGATTATATAGAAATTGTATTTTGAACACTTGTTGACCGGCCACAAGTATACTCATGCAATTGACGCGCGCGCGCGTCACATTATTAAATTATAAAATTATATAAAAGTCATTATTATTCTGCACAATATTTGTTTTATTTTAATTTTATCAATTTTTTTTTCAATTATTGATATTTGAAAAACGATTTTAAACTAAAGACACAATATTGACATATAATGTGTAATAAAAATAATGAGGATATCTTAGGAAGCATTAATAACAATAAAAAAATATATAGTTCTGGGATTCCATGACGTGAAATAAATATACAGAAGCTTGTTGGTCTTTGCATTCCTGGAATTATCGTTATATCATAGTAAGTAATTTAATATTCCAAAGAGAAAAATATTTATATGATAAGCAAGTATCGGTAATTCCCCAGTATTCATGGTAAATGTTAATGCGTGCCCGTTAAATGAAAGTATCGAAGAAAGCAATAAGTATAAAAGCAACGCTGTAGGTCTCATAGAAATCATTTCCTTGCAAACTTTCATCTAGACTGCAACGATAAGTAAGTAAACATTATGTCTTTACAATAACATAATACATACAAAAATATTAAATAAGTTTTTATTCTAATATATGTAAAATTAATTTTAATGAAAATTCTTAAATGATATAAAACTACAATTCTATATTAATATCAATCTTTTGTAACCTTTTCTGATCTGTATTTCATTAAAAGATAAGTATATCACAAAGTCATCGAAATAAATATATAATAAGCAATATTGACGTTCTTCTAGAAACGAAAAAAATGGCAAGTTTAGTGATAAGAGCAGCTCTTGCTGCTATGCTTATTATCGTTGTTACTGGGGAATCGTTTGAATTGCACGTAAATCCGGTAAGTATATAAAAAATTATCATTTAAAAAATAATATACAACGATTAGAGAGAATTGAAATAACAGATTATGTTTTATCTGCTTACATGTGTTTCTTTATATATTAAAGTACTCTCTCGCAAAAGAATCTGAAGGTCATCTCCTAAATCTTCAAAATCTTGAACACCACGGCTTTCAAGAAATTAAATCTGAGGTGATAAAAAAAAAACTACATTTAAATATAAATTCATAAAAAGTTATTCATCTACATAAATATTATTTTAATGTTCATATTTTTTAGCGTCTCCGTCGTGAAGCTGATCCTGAACCTTCCAGACCCAGACCACAACAGGTTCCTCCACGGCCTCCTCACCCGGTAAGAATAAAAATAATTACATGTAATAAGAAATGTATTCAAWTATAAGTTTTCTCTACTACACAAGAAAACAATAAATAATATTTTATTTTCATATTTCAGAGACTCCGTCGYGAAGCTGATCCWGAACCTTCCAGACCMAGACCACAACAGGTTCCTCCACGGCCTCCTCACCCGGTAAGAATAGTAAGAATTACAAATATTGGAAAGATTATTTCAATTGTTTTGTTACTATAGAAATTTTTATTTTTAAAAAATGTTAATAATTTTCGTCTTTATATTGTAGAGACTTCGTTGAGAAGCTTATTCACAAAACCAATATCTCGATATTGATTCTATATCTTTTATATCTGGTAAGAATATAAAAAATCCAAAAATACTTTAACATTCATTTTTATAAATCATTGATTATATATTTTTCTATATATATATACGTTCTTATTATATAATTAATATTATTTTAATTTGTAATTCCAAAGCGTATAACATAACTCAAGATGCAAGTTACAATAAGACAAAATTCAAAAATAGAAATTTTCTTATCTTGATGACATCGGATATTGACCTAATAAGAAGATTAAATTAAATTAATGATGCCATATATAAATATACTCGACTAATAATTTTATGTAATATTCTTTATCTAATATAATATCTAAACTTGTATAATATGTCTTTATGTAATCTTTTTAATAAAAACAAAATAATTCGTTGTATTTAAAGTATATATTACATTTATATGTAAATACATAATTACGAATTTCCAAACATGTATGTACTATTATTTAGAAAATAATCTCCCCAGATTAAAACATGTATTTAATCAAATTTAAATGAATGTAGTAAATTTACTATTAAAAATCTTGTACAGATATTCAAGTTTCCGTGGTGTAGTGGTTATCACATCCGCCTAACACGCGGAAGGTCCCCGGTTCGATCCCGGGCGGAAACATTTTTTTTATTCATTTATATATATAAATTATAAAATAATAATAAATTCTTAATTTATTATTATACATTTTCTCCCTAATTTGACATAATCATCAACTATATTCTTTTAATTAGGGATATTTTATTTAATCAATTCTTCTATACTATTGTTAATGTAAATTTTGTATTCACACACACACGCGCGTACACAAAAAGTGATAGTATAAACTTATTTATGTATTTGATCATGAGCGAATTATACAGAAGATGATCAATAGTTTATTTACAATACACATATATACTATCTATCTGGCTATATAATATAACATATAATTTATACGCAATTTACCCGTAAAAAATTAAAGCTAAATTAAAAAATTATTTTTCTTTCATAAATTCATTTTTATTTGTAATATGGTTAATATTTAATCTGTACTAACAATAACAGGTGCCTCATCTCCTTCTTCTTCTTGTAAATTACCAAAGTTCCAATTAAGCATATTACATATTCGTTCACGGTATCGTGCTGCAGTATACTTGAATGGCTGATCTATGCCAACATGAAATTCAATGTTCCTAAAAAACTTACGCAAATTACAATAGATAAAATTTTCAGTATAGACAACGTCTACTAACATATCTTCTGGAATATAATCTAACTGAACTTCTATAGTCCACAAAAATTCCAAAAAAAGAGACCTATATTTTGGTATAACTGAATCTACACCACATATCAATGAGAAAATCTTTTTCCATTGTTCAAAGGCTTCCCAATTTTGGCCTATCAAGACACAAACGAAAGTAAGTTGCAATTCACCAAGTATTTCCGCTGAACTGAAAAAATATTTTTATACGCATATTTATAGTTTTATATAAATAATATTAAAATGTAAAAATTTAGAATATACAGGATATTAAATTTATTTTTCTCGAAAACAAAGCCTTATAGAGACAAATGTTATTCTACTTGTTCAACTGAATTTTTCATATAGAATCACCCACTGCTCGCTTCTACAATCATTTACAAGATACTTCTGTTTATATTAAAAAACAATAGAATTGGTGATCATACCATTTCATTCCATTAAGCACTGTCTCCCAAGCATAACTGTAATCAAGATTATATTTTGTAATATTTTCTGGAGTTGTATTATCAGGATAATATTTGTCAGGCATTGGTGTTAATCTCAGTTCTGAACCAGCTTTTGGTTTAAAGTTAGGCAATAATTTTGGTATTTGATTCTTCATAGGTCTTGTTTGTGGTATCTCTTTACTCTCTTCTTTTTTTCTAGAATCTTCTTCGTCTGTAGAGAGTTCCGAATCATTACTACAAGGCACTAATTCCATAGCCGAATATATGAAACTAAAAAATAAAAATAATTAAAAAGTACAATAAAAAAAAGGAAAAAGTACATACAAAATGAAAATATATTACATACCCACAAAGAGGTTTACAACGTTTTACTACATAAAAATCAATTTTATCAGTCAATCGTTCCCATCTATCAATGTAATCAAAGTTATAGGGAACAAGAATGTTATCTAAATCTAACAGACTGTTTCGAAGACGTACTAGCAAATCTTCCTCAACAGCTATATATCAAACAATATTAAAAGAATAATAATAATATAAAAACAATATATATATATATAATAACGAATAAATTTAGTTCATAATAATATATCTTACGATCAGCACTCATTTCATTTGTTGATTTGTCCCAACATTTGACCATAAATTCACCATTCTCAAAATAATGAATAAAACCAATTCTAAATGATGGTCCGCCATGACGATCTTCTACTCTATGAAAACATTGTTTTCGTACATAATTAATAAGAAGAATCTTATTATACTCTACACATTCACCATATAGATTAATACAAATACTTTACATACATAGACAAATAATCAAAAGCTATTGAAATTACCTATAGTGTACAAAACGGAATCCTGGAGGTATGAATTTAATACCCATATACTTTTTATTATTTTTAATATCCCAAGAATTTAAATCTATTCCAAACTCCATATTATTTGGTGCATCAACTACAACAAGTGTAGCATTTTTTATTAATATGTGATCTTCTCCTGGATGCTCGTCCACGTCCATACTGCCTTCTTATGTTAAAAATTTTCTTAAATAACTGTTTTGTTTGAATATATATCCTGCAATGACCTTTATAATTTATATAAATATATTATATGTTTACATTCTAATAAGACATTTACTTATTCTTATATATAACAGATTATAAAAAAAACGATGAAAAAAAATTAATTATAATAATATATCTCATTATTTAATTATTACTATATTTTAATTATACAAATCAAAAATCATAAATTTATGTAACCTCTAAATTTCGATCACTCCACGAACATCAAGCCGTTCTATTGCAATGAGAAATTTTTCTATACAATTTTTTAATTTATACAATTTTATAAATGATCGAGAAAAAAATCAAAACTAGAATTAATATTTAATTATAGCTAAAACGTCAATTTTTTAATTTTCTTTTGAAGTTTTATCACCTACAACTACGGATTAAAATTGGCGCACTAATTTAAATTCTCTATTGCGTCATTTTTCTTGTTTACTTTCACCTTATCCCCTTTCTCTTCTATTTATTAATATCAAATTAAGACAAAATAAGAAATAATAAAATTTTTATTTTTTATTCTCTTCTTACATTTTTTTGATGTTTTAATTTCATGAATCATTTGCAATAATAATATATTCTTTTATAAACTGTTCTTTCAAAATGACTGCAGTTAAAATCAAATTGTTAAATATGTGTAATGGTATACAAGGTAATGGAAAATTATTAAATGGCATCCATACGCGTGATCCATCTTTTAAATTTATTAAATGTACAGGCTGTGAAAATACTAATCCTTTGGGAATTCCAAAGGTTCCTAAAATTTATATTCAATATCAAGATAATTAAATGGTACATTGAATAGGTGTTGAAAGAACACCCTATATATATACGTTATATGTGTTACTGTATATAAATACCGTCAGAAGATATTCCTAAAGAAATAATTTCATCTCCAATATTTTCTTCGCCGCTATACCATAATTTTAAAAGATCGCAAATAGCTCTGCATACTTGAAAATTCTCAGTACGTCCAATTTGATATTGTGTCACCGCCTAAATAATATTATAATATGTAAGGAGTTATATTTAATGTTTTTGTTTTCTTTTATAATACATTAAAAAAATATATAGATTATATTTATATCTTATATTCAAAATTCATACCTTACGTTCGAAATATCCATTATAAGGATCGTTATCGTGTGCTGAATAAAAAAAATATCGCAATTCTGGATATTTAAATCCCAATGGTAATGTAGTACTTTCTTCTGCAAACATGGCTCTATTATTTGGTTTGTATACTTCACATTTCTGGATCATATGACATACATCCACAAAACGATTAATTCCTATGCATTAAATAAATTAATACTAAAATTCCATTGGTATATATATATTATCTTGAAATTTGTTAACCAACCCAAAAATCCCCATACAGGAGGACACCCAAAATTGTGTACAGGCAAATTAAATTTTGTTATAAAATTATGCATTATTTCTAGCCCATAATGAGTACTAACTGCTACCATACTAGTCTTTGGCAATTTAGTTACTAAAGCATGAAGCACATTTACACAAAAACAACTTGCACTTGTCGAACAAAAAAGTACTTTCATTTCAGAAGGTGCATATCGGTTTATCTGCCTTGCTAACTTAGCCATACTATCATAATTACTTCGTAACCAAGAATTAGTACTTTCATTCTCTTCCCTAAAATTGTCTCAGCATGTATCTTAGATTTTACTAAGAAACTCAAAAATACAAAGACATACTTTGATATAACGTCTAGGTTAATTAATATATCACAATCACATAATCCATCTGAGATATTTTCTATGGCTCTTGCTGCATATAAACCACCTCCTATAGCCTCCATATCCTTAACAATATGTTTGATTTTAAAATAACAACCAGGTTCGTCATATAAATTAACAATAATACCATTCGTTAACCATAACTCTTTAGTTGTTATTAATTGTGGGATTAAGTCTAAACATAATGCTTTTCCAGCACCTATTACTGTAATGCAACGATGTTGTATAAGTGACGTTTTCACAGATGGTAATTTTAATGTTGTTTCATACATCTGTAATAATACAAAGAATTATAACAGCTTCATTATTATAATTTAATATCTTTCTTACAAGTAAATAATCCAATTGTATTCGTTTAAGATCATCTTGCATAATATAAGTACTAATGTTATAACGCGTGTGTAAAAATTCCCAAAATTGAGTTATACTTCCAATGTAAGTGACATTATTTTTAGATAAACCAACTTTTCTCCAAATCAATGGTGACTTTTTATGCGACCAATTCCAACGGTAACAGATTTTTTGTAGCCACGACTTAAAATAGAATAAATTACATTATATTACTAAAATAATATGAGAGTACTTGAACGTTAAACATTAACCTTCCATTCAGCTGCACTTTTAAAAATCTTTTTATACTTTAAATATTTTAATATCATTGTCAAGTTTTCTACTATGTAACATATATGACAAAAATACACATCTTCTGGTATGCCTGCTATTACTATAACACATTTATCGGCTGACATATTCTTTTTTGTTTATTCAGATTAAATATCCCAAAATGTTCTAAATATGATATATATAATTATCTTCAATTATTTTTCATTAACTGCATTAGTCAACAAAATTGTATTAAATTAACTTCATGTTGGTTTAATCCAAGATTATTGTTAAAATATTATTTATTTAAATAAAAATAGCGATAATATACAGCAATGTAATACTATATCAAAAAACACCAAATATATCTATATAACTAAAAGTAAAAAAGAATCAGAAATTATATTATATTAGATAATTTATATATTAATTTGATATTCTAAACAAAATTCAATTTATTTGTGGTACGGATGATAAAAAAATCACTAATAGAAATGTTATGTTATCATGACTTTGTAAAATTAAAAGTTTCAGTCAGTGTAATCAAACAGTTTCATTGTCAGATATTTCTGATAAATGAGGAGATCCGCAATCATAATCAGAAAATTGCATTGATTGTTCATGTATCGTCATTTCAGGGTAGGAAAGTTCCTCCATTTCTATTTAAAAAAAAAAAAGTATTATTATCTGCATTAACACGAAATACATAATCAAACGTTAAAATATTTCTATTATTTTTTTCACCTGATCCAAATCCTTCATCTGTGTCATCTTGTGCATGCAACATACATTTGCTAAATTCATTTTCTAAATTAATATTGTAATTATCTGTAAAGAAATAATGTGTCTCTTAGATCTTTGTTATAATTTGTATTAAAAAAAGAAAAATATTGAATCAAATAAATATGCACATACTCAATTCCAGTTCTGGATCATAATATGGTGCTAAATCTTCTGGTTCTGAAAATATACTGTTTTGTATATCTTTTTCTACTACATATGGTTCTTTGAATCTTAAGATGTTTTGTTCAAAAATCTTATCTTTATTAAATTCAACTGATTCTGCTTTATCAAATTCAGTGGGTGCAAAAAGTAACTGCTTCTACAATAAAACAATATTAAAACTACCTAGATAAATGTACAGAAAATAATATTGTTTAAATAATTATCAATTAATAGATATGCTTACGTTAATCAATTCATTCTTTGGGAAAAATGAATTATTACTTTCGTCTTTCTTAAAAGTTATTGGAGAACTAGTTGCTGCAATATTCAGATCAGATTTAGATCTTATTGATAAACCTTTTGGTTTGCATTGATCAAATGATTTAGCCATAATACCACTTGTATAATTTATTGATTTTGTTTCTTTAAAGTGTTCTGTTGTTGACACTATAAATCATATAACAAGTAGGATTAATGTGTAGTTACAATGAAAGTAACTGTAATTAATCTCGTAGTATTCAAAATAATATAAAAACCTATTTAATTATACTCACTGATATTATTACTCGTATTACTAAATACATTGAAAACAGAAGCCATGTTATTAAAATGTTATTAATAAATATGAAAATTTGTCGTCTATAATTCCTTGCCTTCGTTCAAACAAACTGAAAACAATCTTTCATGGTAAACATTAAACTTAAGTTAACAACTCAAAGGGAAATAACTCTAGCCAATAAGTGATCGCTAATGAACGCGTCAAAAACCAATCAGCATCGAGTGAAGTCCAGTACATTGGCGCTGCGATCGTAGGGACACGTTAAAAATAAGAAATGATTGAGGCATTTTCCCGCCTATTTCTGCATACAAACCAATAAGAGAATTGTATTATTTTTGAAAATATTAAATGTAGAAATTAATTCAGTGCCTTGATATTAGATTATTTATTCGCACTTTTCTTTAACTGTTGCACGTTATCTTGCAACAGGATAATATTCGGTCACAGATTACAAAAGCAGCAAATAATATCATTTGTTTTTTAGGCTAGGAAATCCTTCCACATGCAGCATTTCCTGATCTGGCTCCATCAAATTTTCATTTATTCCGATTACTCAAACATCATTTAACAGATACGAATTTTCAAACATTGGAAGAAGTACAAAAAACTATTGACGAATTCATTGCGTCAAAATCGCCACTTTCTTTTCTTGAAGGAATTCAACAGTTACCAGAAAGATGGACCAAGGTCATTGAAAATAATGGAGACTGTTTCAAAGAATAACAGATGTATGATTACTTTACAAATAAATACTAAATTTGTAAGAAAAAACCATCGGATGAATTTTTGTACCTAATACTTATAATTTAGAAAATATTTTTCAAAGAGAAAAAAAACTATTATTAGATGAATAAAATCTGTGTATATTTTGAACTAATCGTATTATGATAGAAGTAGAAGGTAGAGTAGTATAAAAACAATTGTATGTATTTGTATTTTATTATACTATAAAAGTACTAGAGAGTGAAAATTCTAAAATTCTAAAATTATAATTTTGTTATATATCTATTACTGTAAGAGATAGAGAGAGATTACATAAGAGATTTTTCAAGAATACATGCACAAAAATGAACTTTTTTTATTTAACCTATATTTTTTGTATGCATATCAGCATGTATAAAACGATATAACCTGAAAGTTCGATCTTTATAATACAATTTTAATTTAATCTTTTTACTTAATTAATTGTTAACATAATTAGGTTTTTTCTACGGTATTATTAAGTTAATAAAGTTTATAAGTGTTCTCTCTTCTTCATTATTTTATTAATGAAGTTGTTATTAGCATTATGGGCTTATTTTCAAGTAATTTATGTATTTTTCTAATATTTTTTTTTATAAATATTTAACTATACAAGAAATATACAGAGTATAAGTTTAATAAATCCTATCATTTATAGAATCTATTAAATTAACTTAATAAACTTAGAGAGACACAGATTTTTCTTAATCTTGAATGTGGAGAAAAGGGCTAACATTCTGATGAGCTATGAATATGAAAAGAGATATAATAAGCATTAAAATGATTATTTTAATACACATATTCGACACGTAAAGTGAAACAATGATTCTAATTTTGTTCACAGATTGACAGGAGTGCTCAATCTAATGTGTGACAATGATTTAAATGGTGTGACACTTCGAATTTCCTTCTCTAAACAATTGGAATAAATATCTGCACTTAATTCACTTAATGGAATTTCTTTATCCGCTTTAGCAACTTTTACAGCATCATCTATTTTCTTCCTAATCTCGCTTTCCATTGTCTATATAAAATAAAAATATTAATATATATAATAAATTTTTCTTAGTTATAAATGAGAAACACAAAAATATAATATAATATGTGTAACCTTAAGTTCATCTGCAGTAGCAAGATTAGTACTCAATAATCTCTCTTTAAAACTTGTAAGAGGATCTCTTGTTTGTCGTACTTCTTGGATTTCATCTCTAGTACGGTAGCTTGTTCCTGGATCGGACATACTATGTCCGCTATACCTATATGTGGCAGTTTCCATAATAATGGGTCCCTTTCCAGATGTACAATGTTCTATAGCGAACTTTGTTGCTTCTCTTACAGCCAAAACATCCATACCATCCACCTATTAATAAATAAAAATTGATACTATATATTAATAATAATAATAATAAATTAAAATTATTGATTATTAATAAAAAATATTAGAATGAATAAAATGTACAATCATTATTTTTACATAAAGAAACTTACCCAAATACCAGGGACGTAATCTCCTCTTGTATAATATTCTGTACTCGCGGAAGCACGTTCGACACTGGTACCCATTCCATATCCATTATTTTCGCAAACAAAAATACAAGGAATGTCCCATAATTTAGCCATATTGTATACTTCGAATGCTTGTCCTTGATTCGCAGCACCATCTCCGTAAAGAGTTAAACATACTCCTCCAGTGTTCATATATTTTTGAGCAAATGCGATACCAACACCTAATGGTATCTAAAAATAAAATCTTTTTTTAAATGATTATGCGTATGATTTCTTATTTTGGCAATAAAAAACAACTATTGTTAAACAAACCTGAGCACCGACAATACCATTTCCTCCATAGAAATTTTTAGCATACATATGCATAGAACCACCCTTGCCTCTAGCGTTACCTAATTGTCTTCCAGTAAGTTCTGCAAGAACACCTACAGGTTCTATACCCATTAAGTAAGTCCAACCATGTGCACGATAGGCAGTGATTACAGCATCTTGTGACCGCATGGCAGCTTTCATACCAACGGCACAAGCTTCCTAAAACATGTACATAGCAAATCAAATAAGTGTTGCATCAGTGAAATAATAAAAATTTAATAAAAAATATAATTTTACTTACTTGACCAGAATATAAATGACAAAAGCCTCGAACTATTTTTTCTTTGTATAAATTACCAGCTGATGTTTCTAAACGTCTTATTGTATGCAAATGTTTATATATTTCTAAAGCATCATTTTTGGTTACTGTTACATGATTAGATGGACCACTATCCAATTTATGTAAGCGAAAAGGTTTTGTCTCAAAACTTGCTTCCGTTGCATAATTGTTTTTTTTGTTAAAGAATGAGATTATCTATAAATATATTAAAAAGAAGAATTACAAGTATAATCAGTATACAGTAGTATTTATCTCATATTGTTTAATTTAAAAAATGTGGTGTATAGAAAAGCTAAAATAATTCTTAAATCTTATTGTTTAATCAAAAATAAATGAAATACTATTTTCAATACTATGATGATAAATCAATGGAGAGATTATAATTCTATGTTTGACATTTAGAAAACTCAAATATGAATATAACAATACTAAATTAATTGTTAACAATACTCATAATTAAATATGCAATTGTAAAAACAATTGAACAAAAAAAACACAGTACTTAACACGTACCTTATTCCAATTTCCAAACTGACATAGTTGTCCGAGATTTAAAAAAGGAATATGAAAATATATTTTTAATGTAAAAATTGAAAAATAAATTAATATATGCATACATTTTATAATAATGGACTTTACGATATTAAACTTATTGGGAATAATGAAAAAAAGAGAGGAAAAAAAAGTTTATTATATTAATATACTCACATTTCTTCGAGATATCTGTGCACCAGCAGTTCTAAAACAATTTGGTATCATTTTGATCAAATAATTTAAACCAAGTGCGAATAAAAAAAATTAAAATAAAAAAAGATGAATAATTTTTCTCGTAGATACAATATGTAAAATGACGTCAAAAGATGAGGAGCAACACTTGGCACACTGAATAATTCCTAGTAATGTCGAAATGTAGGTTGTATAAAGGACAGGTTGGACTATATGATTCCCCCACTACGAGATTTTAACTTATGGCGGTCATTACGTGAGGACCACGTGACATTGACATTTTTATGATTGATAGAATAAAAAACTGTATAAATAATATTTAATTATTATCTAGAATAATAATTATTGCAAATTTTAATAATTTCTTATATTATTTACTAATTATATAAGTAAAATTATGTTTTAAATTAAAGCAGAAAAAATGTTTATTAACAATGTGTCATTTATAAATTTAAACTTCCTCATGAAATTATTCAAACGCGTTATCCAATAATCGAAATATGTTATTTTTCTATATTCAATATTCTAACATATATATTAATATGAAAATAAATAAATTTTAATATAAAAAGAAATATTTATTTATTTATATCATAATATAATTTCAATATTTTGGATTTCCCGCGAGAAAACTTTCAAACTTTGATTTTCTTAAGTCGATCTTACAACTATAAGGAGTTATATATTCTGATAGAAGAGAGTGAGAGAGTTTAGAGTTATTTTTGTTTAATAAAATACCTTACTTTTAATCATAGATGTCAGATAACATTATTTGATCGTCGGATATCTTTGATAAGAAATTAATATTCGTTTGCTGTACCTTGATGGGTTGACAAATTTTAAGCTCAACATAGAAGCAATCTTTTTATTGGTAAAACTCGTTTCTATTAAAAAAAAAAAATTTGTTTTTTTTTTGGTTAAAGCTTAAAACTTTTCAACCTATCGTTATATATATATGTATATTTATGTACAAATATATTATATTTTCTTATGAAATTACACGAATCTCATAAATATAGACGTTTCTTCTTAAAAATCATTTTAATCATTAATATGAGATTATTATTTGATATATAAAAATACATATACATTCATTCACGTAACAAACAAAACACATAATAAACGAAAACTTAAATGCTACGTACACAATGGTTTATCTTTAAAAAATAAAACAAATAAAAATAACATAAAAAGTACGAAAAAATAAAATTACATGGGATCTTATACAATGGTGGCATTAACGATACACGGGGGTGTAAAACGTACATAACGAATAGTATTTTTAATGTTAATGTAAGTAGATGATATAGTTATTCCAATTCCAATAATAACTATCAAATAACCGAACCAATTCATCGTTTGTTTGAGATCTTTGAGTATTTGAGATTTAGATAATGATTGTTGCATCGAGAGTTCTTGTCTTTGATAATTTCTTAAAGATGGTTGACTAGCGTCGATAAATATAGCTTCCTCTTGATGATTTTTTCTCATTAATGAACTTTTGTTAAGATTTATAACATTAGAATAATTATCTTCACGATCAACCCCCTCGTCTTCTATACGTTCATCGTCACACATTTCATTTTCCATATCGTAATAATAAACGTACGAATATCGATGCGGTATAGTTTTAGTAACACCCAAAAAACCATCGTAAACGGATCTCGAATGAATTCTTGGATCCGAATTAGCATCGATCGAATTTAATTGTCTTACAGAAGTAGAATAAATTTCGGGCGTCGAGATGCGGTTCGCGCTATTTTTCAAAGCTATCGCTCTGGCGTACATCAGTGGCGGAAGTACGAAAACCAATGGGCCCATTAACGATCCACCAATCAGAGCCATTACTATGTCGAAGCGCGGTACCATTTCTCCTACAGCGACTCCAAAGAAAACAATTGTTGATCTTATTGCACAACGTTTCCATCCGAATGCTGTAATTATAATTAAAAAAATAAATTAATTAATAAAAAAGAACACGTATAACGCGCGTGTATTTTTAATCGTGAATATGTTTTTTTCTGAAGAAATAAACAATGATTATTATATTACAAATTTCATGTTTCTAATCTTATCGTTAAATGAAGTCAACTATCCAAGCTATAAAATTAATCTGTTTAAAACATTTATCTGTTGTTACTTCAAAAGCAATATATTTAATTGTTAAGTAAACAATAAAGAAATAAAATGTGTGAATCTTAGCAAATAATATTTTTATACTTACACCTATTTATTCGAAGTTTATCTTCGAAATGTTGAAAAAGCGCCGAATGACCTAATGCACTGGATAAGCATAATTGAAGAGCAGCTAATAAGATAGCACCATTTATTGCAAATCCCGTTGGCACTATCTGAAGAATATTAGCTGTTATACTTCCACCGTATTTCCACATTGCCAATCCCGCCGTTATTCCAAATAGTGATACGCTTACTATAATCATCAATTAATTCATTTGAATAATGATTAAAAATGATAAACAGTAATTATAATAAATGTTCATAATTAACTAAATTTGTTTAAATATACAGTTAGGTAATTTTTTCTTACCAAAAAATGATAAAATAACAGCTTTATTGATATTACGAGGATTGTGCATATCAACTTGAACGGTCATCAACGTTGGATGTATGTCGAACAAAAATGCCAACATGCCGTAACTAAAGTTAATTAATTAATAAATTATTATATTATAATAATTATCATGCTAAACGATACTAAAACAATTCAATTTAGATCAATAGTAAAAAGCAATTAAAATATATAAGAAAAATTATAATTATTTATCAATAGAGCCTCTTACTTACAATTAAATCTATAAGAATTGATATATTCTAATTTATAAACAATATAACTAAATATATAAACATTGTTATAATTATATATATACCCAGATATAAATTTATCCCAAGTTGGTGAAGTTGGTATCGGTATATGTTCGATAATTCGATCGTCGTTGATGATGCACCACCAAATCAGTATTGCGGTCAAAATTACGGTAACGCAAGAAAACATTGCTAACCATCTATAATATTTATAAAAATATGTTTTATATCTAAAACATGTAAAACAATTAAAAAAAAAAAATTAATAAAAAAACATTATAAGATCAAAAATCATAAGTAGAATAATACAATAATGAAATTAAATCTCGAAGATAATGTAAGTTATCGTTATTATGGAGAAGAAATTGAGAAGATTAATTATCATGAATATCTTCTTACTTCATATCTCGTGGACTTCCTAACCACATGAAAGGACAGAGTAGCATACCAACGACAAGTAACCAGTAACAAAAAGAAATGTCAAATTTTTCTTCGGACATTCTAACTCCGAACATTTGCAAATTCTGTGATGCTAAAACGAAATAAGATGATTTAATAAATATATATAAATTATATTTTTTATATATTCTCTTACCTCTAATTTATAAATAAGACATTACAACTTTGATTGTTTTTTTTTTTACCTTATATATTAAATTGTTTTATTTTATTTTATTATAACGTGCGTAATAAATCACAACTGTAATATTATACAATGTGTCTCTTAAATTATCTTAAACGTAAAAAAAAGTATAATATATAAATTTAATATATTTTTTTTCTGTTAATTTATTTATTTCATTTTTTATACCCTTTTGATGTTTTTGTTCGCTTTTTTTTGTTGATTTTTTGTGTTTATCTATCTATTATTTATTTCTCTTATCATTATTATATAATTATAATTGACCTACCGACTAATAAATTAGGTATTCCACAACCAAAAATTGTAAGATCCAAAAGTAAAGTTATAATAGTTCGTGCTCGTGGACCTAGCGTTAATTCGGTTACCGCTGCTAAAGGATACCTAAGAATAAATAAGATGTTCAATTTTCTAACAATTTTCTAACAATTCAATAGATTTATTATTATCCGAAAGTAAAGAAACGTTATGAAAATGAATTCGGTAAACATTCGGTTCTTTTTATCTTGTGATTTTTTGTTGTTTTCCAATTATAATCCTACCGATTTTTTCGTAAGATCATAGGATCCAAGGTGGTAGCTATAATCCATGATTTTCCAAGTAATGCAGCTGTGTATATTTGTAATCCAAAAACAACGAAAACCAAAGGAATGCCATATAATCCTAAAACAACATTTAACATCTGTTGCTTTTTTGTTGTACATATTAATATTGACTCGTCGAGAGATCATTAAGATTCACGATCGAGATCAAATCACGCATTTGAAAATTATCATCTACGAGGATAATTTGAAAAATTTCAAATGTTTCTTATTTTAAATGTATGATATATGCATGTATACATATGTATATATATGTATATATATAAATTTTTTTAAAAAAAGAAGCATAAGAGTCGCTAATTTTTCAAATTACCCTAATATATGTGTATATATAATACTTGTATTTCAAATATAATCGAATATATTCACATAATTCCAAAATAATCGGTTTACTTTGTCAGGTCGCATTTATAAACACACAGAATTGTTTGTTTATAATTCTAGATACGTTATTTTCATTAAATGTTTAACAAGATTATTAATACCTTATTATTATTATTAATATTATTATTATTATTATTATTATTATTATTATTATAAATAATATTATTTTTTTTGTTTCTTTTTTTCTTTTTTGTCAAAATATTAATTTTTCTCCATTACACACCGCATATATAATACATTTACGTTATATTCTTATTTCGATATACATAAAAAAAAAATTGCTCGCTTATTAGGTAAATATCAATTCGCGACTTTTATGTAAATTTTCGTAAGAGACTTTTCTTTTCCTCAAACGAAATTTTCAAATTGCTTAGCGCTCAATCGCTATCACAAACATTTAATTTCTCTCATGTACAAATTACGAGAAGATATATCCTGCAGGAAGGAAACGAAGTTCGCGTTGTCGAAAATAAAACCAAAAAAAATTATAGAAAAAAGAATTAAATAATAATAACAACTCACCACACTGAACGATCGAACTTGGTAAAGCAATTATTGGAAAAACACCGAATATATCAACAATACACAAGATAGCGAAAAACAATGAAAGATCCGAATTAACGTCTTTAAATAGAAGAGGTACACTTTCGCGAATCATGATGAGACACCATCAGCACTGACTTTAAAATCAGTGTGAAAGAAAATGAACCGGTTTCCTTCCTTCGCGTACGTTAACAGCGAGCAAGTAACTTGATATATCCTATCGAACGCAAGTCGTGGTCAACCCATAGTCTGTGGGAGCGTGGTAAGAAGACTTACAACTTCTTCTCCAGTCTCGATTATATGTATATGTTTTCTGTACTATATAAGCCTTTTGAATAATCAAAGCAGATGTATAACTTAAACAAGTTAATATTCGTATTTAATTTAACGATCTATTAAAAATAAGTAAAATTTAAAACAAAAGAAGAATCCATCTTTAATCGTAACGCATTTGGAATGAATTAAATTATGACCACACATTTTCTATATCAAATATGAAAAATACAAAGTAAAATTGTAAGAATTGAGAAAAAAAAAAAGAATATAAAAACTAACCATATTAACATTATAATTACAGTCAATAATATACATTTTGGTCTTACAACGAATATTTAAAGATAACAATTTAAAGATAGGATACACCTTAATCGTCCGTTTCGTAAGCAGGTGATTGCGGCGAATAAGTTGGACTCGTAGGAGAGTAACCAGGTACCGGAGGAGAGTAAGTTGGACTTGTCGGCGAATAACTAGGACTCGTCGGAGTGTAAGTAGGACTTGTAGGAGAATATTTCGTACTCGATGGTGAATATTGAGGACTCGTTGGCGAATACGTAGGACTCGTTGGCGAGTAATTTGGACTGCTAGGAGAATATCTTGTACTACCAGTAGCTGTGTGCTGTGGAGAACTTGGAGAATAAGATGGACTAGTCGGAGAATAAGTTGGACTTGTTGGAGAATATGTTGGACTCGCTGGAGTATATTGTGGCGAGGTTCCAGCAAATGAAGGTGAAGTAGGCGAGTAACTTGGACTCGTTGGTGAATATTTTGGACTGCTAGGTGAATAGCTTGGACTAGCTGGTGAATATTGAGGTGAACTCGGTGAATAACTTGGACTGGTGGGCGAATAAGACGGAGAGGCTGGTGTGTAATTAGGTGAACTAGGTGAATAACTAGGACTAGTTGGTGAATAACTTGGTGAAGTTGGAGAGTAGCTTGGACTTGTTGGTGAATAGCTTGGACTCGTTGGTGAATAACTTGGACTCGTTGGAGAATAACTTGGACTCGTTGGCGAGTAACTTGGACTCGTTGGTGAATAACTCGGCGAAGTTGGAGAATAGCTTGGACTTGTCGGTGAGTAACTTGGACTCGTTGGAGAATAGCTTGGACTTGTTGGTGAATAGCTCGGCGAAGTCGGCGAGTAACTTGGACTCGTTGGCGAATAACTTGGACTGGTTGGCGAATAACTTGGACTGGTTGGCGAATAACTCGGTGACGTAGGCGAGTAGTTTGGACTAGTTGGCGAATATGTTGGACTGGTTGGCGAATAATTTGGACTTGATGGTGTCATACTTGGTGATGTTGGCAAGTAAGCTGGTGATGTAGGCGAGTAACTTGGTGAAGCACCACCGGCTGGTGACATTGGATAAGGACTCATACTTGGTCCTGGACTTCCAGGGCTTCCTGGTTGTGGAGAATAAGCAGAATATGCTGGAGATAACCCTGAAGCATCGGATGCACCCGATGGTGAGAAACAAGCACCTCCTGGTGTCATTCCACTGCCAAGAGCTAGACAGAAATTATTTCATGTAAAATTGAATGTGGTCAAACGATTACTAAAAAGTTCATGTATGATACTTATTAAATACATATATGAAAACGTACCAGGCGACATACTTGATGCACCATAACCAGGAGTAGCGCCCATCCATGGTGTCATTTGAGGACTCATGCTCGGAGTTGCAACACTACCGAAGAACATACCAGCAGATCCCATTACACCAACACCTACTGCCATTGGTATCTCAATTCCAGCTTTGCATTTTTCTGCATCGAGTAGTAAATCGAAGCAACCTATGGGATATGAACAAATTTAAGGTATAACCCTCTTATTTTCAAAAATACACATTTTGTGATTTGATATGATTAGTATTTTAATATCAGTTATCATCAATTTTGTCTCTATTAAATTGTTTCTTACCAGTTCCTATACGTGGGAGTTGACCCATAATAATATTTTCAGAAACTCCTCTCATCGGATCAACCTCAGCATGCGAAGCAGCGTCCAACAGAACGTCGACCGTTTCTTCAAAGGAACATCTGTAATAATGAAATTGATTTTATTATTTGTTTTGTTTAGCTGAAATAAAATTATGTATGATATACAAACCTCATCAATGCTCCGGTATCCTGTCTATTAATTCCATGACGTGTTATAGCCATTAAATGACCTTTAGCAGTCATTACGTCGCAAAGTAAAGCAAGATGTCGATAATTTACGTATAGACCATAGAATTGTAACACGGCATTCATTTCTTTTTCGACTGATTTTCGTACAGCTTCGATACCTAATACTTGGAAAATTTCACAAATATCATTACTAAATGTCCGAACTGGATCAACGTCCCTTTCACTTAAAACTTTCATCAAACTTGTTCCGTCAGTTTCAAGCAACCATTCTGCTATTGCTTTAAATTCACCTGTCTCAGTTATAACAATACGTTTTTTCGAGTCAGTTTGTGGTAAATGCATATACACTTTACCAATGGCTTCGATACCCTGAAAAAAGTAAGAAATTAGTCTCTATTTAATATATTATATATAATCATTTATATATTATCAAATTTAAAAGTTAACATACTTGTAAAGTCATATCACTAAGCATATTAGCTTCGATACATCGAAGGAACATATCATCTTCCATTTTATCTACAGTTTCTTCTTCTGTATCTTGGAACTTATTATCTTCACTATTCATAATCCTAATTCGTAATACCAATTTTTCCGCATTATCATCATTAAATATACAATTTAAATCATCACCGAAACCTGCATTTATTTTTTCTGCAATCTGTTCCATGGTTAACTTTTTATCAGTCATCCTTTTTCTATCTAATTCGATACGTAATAGCCACGGGGATATTTTAGTTGGATCGAAATCCGGCATTTCGTAGTACACATTGACAAACTCTTGATCTTCAGCAATGACAGTGTTTTGTGGGTCAGGATCATAATAGATCGCAGTATTGGCAGTAACTTTTCTTAATGTAGTATGTTCCAGACGACATAGAACGTTTTTCGCTTTTTCGGCATCTCTAGCAGCAGCGCCAGTTAAAAATACTGTTAGTGAAGGTGCTTTTGGTTTTTTACTAATGTTAATAATTTCTTTCAATCTGGGTACACCAAGAGTTACGTTCTTCGATGAAACTCCAGCAAAATGAAAAGTGTTTAGTGTCATCTGAGTGGCTGGTTCACCAAGTGATTGCGCAGCTAACGCACCTACCATCTCACCTGGTGATACCTAAAAAAAAAAAAAACAATTAAATTGTTTAAAAATAACTAGCAATGGAATTAAATAATTTATATTAATCATACTTGTGCTTGTTGGAATCTAGTTTCTATTTCTCCAATAAGCCATTCGAATGCTTCACCGGAAAGTCGGAACTCCTCAGATACACATTTTGTACATAAAGTTGATCTCACTAAGCATTGGAATAACAATGTTGCATTTTCATTAGCTTGTTTACTTAATCTATCATCTCCAGCTACAATTATACATTTCTCTAAAAGATCTTTTACACCTAACATAAAAGGAAATGAATTAAAGATTAATTATTTTCTTTTTATATATTCAATATCAAAGAATTATAATTAAAAATATTATCATAAAAACCTTGTATAACTCTCATAGGACTGAGATCTGTAGGAGCTCTTTTGTTGATATGGAAAATTTTTTGTACATTCCAAATCATTCTTTGTAAATTGCATGGCAATACAACTTTAGATTCTCCACTAGGGAAGATTTCACGAAGAGTAGCTCTATCTTTATTAAGTTGTTCCCATTCTCTTTCTAATTCGGAAATGACTTCACCCGACCCCATCATTTCACGGACAATATCTTCATTAAAAATGCGTCTCAGATACCGTTCATTGGTTGGGTCAAATTTAAACTTCTTTTCAAATGCTTTATTACTAAGTTTAATAGTAGGTAAATTTTGAAATTCGACTGTTTCACCACATAAACCATCTTCTCCGTAACGCAACTGAATAAGTTGCCCAACCGAATTTCTTACAGTTCCATCGTAATGAACCATTACAGACTCCATAGCCTTTATTAAACGACGTTGAATGTATCCTGTTTCAGCAGTTTTTACGGCAGTATCGATAAGACCTTCACGACCACCCATAGCGTGAAAGTAGAACTCAGACGGTGTAAGACCAGCTAGGTAAGAATTCTCAACAAATCCTCTGGATTCAGGACCATAATCATCCTTGATAAAATGAGGTAAAGTTCTTTTGCGAAAACCAAAAGGTATTCGTTTACCTTCAACGTTTTGTTGTCCCACACAAGCAATAACTTGAGAAATATTAATGTTTGATCCTTTAGAACCTGATACGACCATAGCTTTTAAATTGTTATATTCAGTTAAGGATTTTTTGGCAGAACCACCGGTTTTATCACGAGCGTCATTCAAAATTCTGTTTACTTGATTTTCGAATGTTTGTCTCAAGGTGTTACCAGGAGTAGGTTCTAATTCCATATTATGAGCTTTTTGAATAACTTCTATTACATCTTCTTTGGCTTTCTTAATAGCCTTCTGAATTTCTAAATATGTTTGAGGATCAGCAATAGTATCGCCAATACCAATTGAATGGCCTTCTAACAATAACCAATTATTGATAACAGTTTGAATATTTCCATAAAAACGCCCACATACTTCGTGACCCAATTCCAACATACAAATATGAAGTAAGGATCCTGCTGATGTACCTAAAGTTTTCTTACACAAAATACCCATAACTAATTCTCCATGTTCTACCATAACTTTTGTATCACCAGGTGAAATCCATTTGTATGGTCCATCATCTTCTTCGTCTGGATGTGTACTGTGTGTTCTAATCATATTTACATTTCCAGGAATGATCAAGGAAAAAATTTGTTTTCCAGTCCAAAGAGGTTTCGGTTTCAATATACATGGTTGTGGCATTTTTCCATCCCAACTAGGTAAAAACATAAGTATATTCATCATTTGTTCTTTTTCTATAAAAACGTCTCTTTTGGTCATTTTCCTCACAGCAGTTAAAGTATCTTGTACAATACCCATAACTGGTTTGTTTGCTTGTGGTGTAATAATTTGACGAGGAGTAACGTGTATATTTTCTACTTCCGCACGCGTTTCCATTGATTGTGGAACGTGAAGATTCATCTCATCTCCGTCAAAATCGGCATTATATGGTGAGGTACAGCTAAGATTCATACGGAAAGTACTCCATGGGAGAACCTTAACTCTATGACCCATCATACTCATTTTGTGGAGAGTTGGTTGTCGATTAAAAATAACTAAATCTCCATCTCTGATATGCCTCTCTACTCTGTATCCACATTGTAAATGAAGATCAGAAGGCTTTGGGTGAAATCTTAAATCTATACGTTCTCCATTATCTCTGACTATATACTTTGCACCTGGATATTGTGAATTACCACGTCTTACTAATTCTTGCATTTTGTCAATATTGAAAGGCGTTACAATTTCTGGAAATGTTAAATTTTGAGCAATGCTACGAGGTACGCCTACTTGATCGATTCTTAAGTTTGGATCTGGGGTAATAACAGTACGTGCAGAAAAGTCTACACGCTTTCCCATCAAATTTCCTCTTATTCGTCCTTCTTTCCCTTTTAATCTTGCCTTTATAGCCTTCAATGGCTTTCCAGATTTTTGCATTGCTCTTGGCATACCAGGCATATCATTATCTACTAATGTTGCTACATGAAATTGTAACATCTTAATATTCTCGGATATAACATGTGCTGCTGCACCAGCTTGTTCATTTCTTAATAATTCATTATTTGATTTGATTATATCTGCTAATTTATGTGTCAAGTCATCTTGATTTTTAGCAGATCCATACATGATGACAGCTGGTCTCACTGATAAAGGTGGAACTGGTAACACCGTAACGACCATCCAATCTGGTCTTGCAAATTTAGGATCCATACCGAGAATAAATGATTCTTCGTCAGTGATGTGTTTCAAAATTTCCCATGCTCTTTCAGCAGTAAGAACAATCTTTTTCTCTTGAGAATCTTCATTAACATGTTTCCACTCCGCAGTGACATCTAATCCAGATCTTCTCAAATTAGGTTGATATCTACCACAACCTCCATGCCCTGGTTTTCTATCTGCTGCTTGTTGATCAGTAGTTTCTTTATTAATATCCATCTCATCTCCTCCTTCGCATATATTTTTACTTTTACATAAATCATATACAAATGTAAGCCGTTTGCGTGGTTGACCTTTTGTTTTCATAACTATTTCTTTAATCTTTGGATTATGCTGTTTAAATATATTAAAATTTATATATTAATTATAAATATTATAAATAATTATATAAAATTATATCATTTCTGATAATTATATTAATCCATTTGCATCCAAGCACGGATTATTCCGCATAAGAAACATTAATTTTTCTATTTGTGAGAATTTGATCGGTGATACAAGTCAGTTGATAGTTGGACGTCGCTGATGTTTAGGCAAGAAAGCCAAAGTAGACGCATGATGCAAATAGGTTAAATCATTAAAAACAAATAATATAGCAATGTATACTTACTGGACTAACAAGTAGCTTTGAACAGTAAAAACATACGCATCTAAGAATTTTTATTGTTTTGGTAATAAATCCAACATGAAAAACAGGTTTAGCTAAATCTATATGTCCAAAATGACCTGGACACTCTGTCATATTACCAGCACATGTTTGACACCGAGAATTTCTATCGATCACCCCTTGTCTTGGATCCATGAGGCCACCAAGTTTTGGTCGGCCACCTTCCATAGTTTCTGGAAAACGTATACCTGAATCTGTAACTGACATTCGACGCTGTAAAAAGAAAAAAAATATATATTAAAATAATAAAACACTAACAAAATAAATGACTATTACTTAATATAAATAAATTATTCATGAAAATATATATGTATATTTTAATCTTATTTAATTAATGTCAACATTGAAATTTAAATATATCATTAGTTGTATATAAATCCTTGTTATTGAAATAATATATTATTATATTTAACGCAAATCAAGACCGACAAATAATGTTCTCAAAATAAATTGAACAATCATAAATGATTAGAAAAATAATGTAATGTAGGACCATGGACCCAAGCAACGTTATCATTTCATCACATGTCGTATTATTATTATTATTATCATCTGTATGAACAAAATTATATTTTCAATATATTCTTTATCACAATAAAATTCTACTTACAATTTCATCTGGAGAAAGAATACCAAATTGTACTCTTTTTACAGTTCTTAAGGGTGCTTTCGAGTCTGTCGTAGCCATTTTGGTGAATTGTTCAACCGACTTCTGCGTTGCTACTTCTTCATATGCTTTTTAACACGAACAAGTTATACCAACAATAAAAATCTTGTTGGCGATCGAAATGCCACCAAGTAGTCAGTTTCAAAATTAAACTTTTATTTTTACAAGATTGTCACAACTGATCGTATTTATTAGTATTTCCCAACTGACTAGATGCAGTAAACCAATAAGATTTGTCTATGAACTACTATCGGTATGTGAAACACTGATTGAGAAACACTGGTATATATAACCCTACATATTCTAATAAAAAGTACACTGCAGTTATGTTTTACATTTAGTAGTTCGTGATTAGTTCAGCTGCAATAAATCAAAAGTTATTACGTTTTTTGTTTAAGAAAATATATTATGATAATATAAAATATGGCAACATCAAAAACTACTAATACATATAATCGACAAAATTGGGAAGATGCGGTAAGTTGAATGAAATGTATTAATGCTAAATAATACAAAAGATATAGTTTTTATGAAAATCAAAATTGTGCTAATAATTTCAATTATTGCTTTTAGGAATTTCCAATATTATGTCAAACCTGTTTAGGAGATAATCCATACATTCGAATGGTGAGTAATTGTTCGTTATTTTTTATATTTAGAAATAACCAGTTATGTTGTTTTGTCCTTTTTACCTCATTTATGTGAAAACGTGTACTTCCACGTGCATTCCAAATAAGTAAGCATTTGTGAACAGGTTAATTCTAGGGTCCTGGATAGTTCAATGGTTTAAGTAGAAGCCTAGAAAGTAGAAAATCTGGGATCCTGTCAACCAACGTTCCAATTTTTTTACAAATACTATACATATGTTATTACTTTATAATTTGCATTGCATGTAGAAAATAATTGTCATCAAATTGTATTTCTTTATTGCAGACTAAAGAAAGATATGGAAAAGAATGCAAAATCTGTATGCGTCCATTTACAGTATTTCGATGGTGTCCAGGAGCAAGAATGCGATTTAAGAAAACTGAAGTTTGTCAAACTTGCAGTCGACTTAAGAACGTATGCCAAACTTGTTTACTTGACTTAGAATATGGATTACCTATTCAAGTACGCGATGCTGCATTAAAAATAAAGGATGACTTACCTCGATCGGATGTAAATAAAGAATACTATGTACAAAACATAGATAATGAAATAGGAAAAATAGATGCAACAACACCAGCTGGAGCCGTTGGTAAATCAGCTGCTGCTAGTGATTTGTTAATGAAACTGGCTAGGACAAGTCCCTACTATAAAAGAAACAGACCACATATCTGTTCATTCTGGGTAAAAGGTGAATGTAAAAGAGGAGAAGAGTGTCCTTATCGTCATGAAAAACCAACAGATCCAGATGATCCATTAGCAGATCAAAATATTAAAGATCGTTACTATGGTGTTAATGATCCTGTGGCAGACAAATTAATGCGAAGAGCGGCAGCGATGCCTAAGTTAGATCCACCAGAAGATAAATCTATAACTACTTTGTACATTGGAAACTTGGGTGATGTTTTAACAGAGAAACAATTACGTGACCATTTTTACCAATATGGTGAAATACGTTCTGTGACAATGGTTCCACGACAACAGTGTGCCTTTATTCAGTACACGCAAAGAAGCGCAGCCGAAGCAGCAGCAGAAAGAACATTCAATAAATTAATATTAGGTGGAAGAAGATTAACGATAAAATGGGGACGTTCTCAAGGGAGACAAACTATTTCAGCTGCAGAAGCAACTAGAGAAATTTTGGAACCTGTACCTGGTTTACCTGGCGCTTTACCACCACCTCCAGAAAGCATGGGAAATAATTTCTTTAATCTACAGACAACTCCTGGTATGATGCCACCAATGATGATACCACCACCACCGGTAGCACCACAATTTATGTTTCCACCTCAAATGGCAGCTGCTGCTGCTGCAGCTGCTGCAACTCCTATTTTTCCACCAGGCACAACACCAATACATTATCCCAGTCAAGATCCATCTAGGATGGGTGCATCTCAGGGTATTGGGAAGCCATGGCCTGAAGAATAATATTAAGAAAACGATCTTTATTAAATATTCTTTATTATTATTATTATTATTATTATTATTATTATTAAAACAAATCATAAATATAAACACATTTATCTTCTTAACTTTTGCAATAAAGTATACATTATTTATTGTATCTTACAAAAATCTTACTTTTTTCTAAATTGATTACATTTTAATTGAATGTTAATTATATATATATAATAACGAATAAAATAATTTCTCTGTTAACAAATTATTACCCGCGCTATATTTAAAGGTTTATTCTCAGTACGTATTTTACAATCAAATTTTCACCGATTGGCTAAAAATCATTTTGAAGGATAGTTTACAAAAATAGCGGAAATTGAAATAAATGGCGACGGCAGAGATATGAACTCCTCAAATGATTCATAAAATTATATCGAATCGCGATAAAGGTTTAATAAAACCAATCATTTAGCTTCATAGTAAAGCTTGGAGCTTCATGTCGTTGCTGTTGTATTTGATGCAAGAGCCATCTGACGTGGCACCGGATTAAAGAAATGCATGATACGTTTTAAGCATACAGTTCCGATTGCGGTGTGTGTGCATCATTTTGTAGTGATATTATATCTTTAGATACATACATATATATATATGTATATATATACGTGTCCGTTCGGCCGATGTTTCTACTGCATTGATCATATTTATCAAATCTATGGGGTGCATTTGTCGTCGAATTATTTTTAATATTCTTTGCATGCTTGCATAAGGCGCCTAGTGCGCCTTCCCGTCACAAATGAAGATGTGTCGGGCACAATTACTTCTTCATATTTTGCTGCTTAGCCTCTTACCTTTCGTTCACACGGATGAGCACAATCACATCGTGAGTAGAACTTGACCATTTATAATTATCAAATTCCTTCAACCCCGTCTCAATAACGAAATACTTTTCTTTGAAGATTTTATATTCTGTCATATTAAATAGATTTTTCTTTCTTTTAGTATCAATTAATTATATTTTTTCACAATGTGTTTTGAAAATAAATCATTTTTTAACTAATAAAATTCTATATGCAATGATCATTTATAACATATCATTTACAATGTTAGTACGAAGACAACGATGAAGTTGTACTATGGATGAGTACGGTTGGACCATACCATAACAGGCAAGAGACATATTCTTATTATTCTTTACCATTCTGTGTTGGTATGAAAGATGTTATCAATCATCATCATGAAACGTTGTCAGAAGCACTTCAGGGTATCGAATTAAAGTTTAGCGGTTTAGATATCGAATACAAAGGTAAGCATGTTGTATAAGCTCTCTATAATAAGAGATTATGTTTAAACATTACATATTATTTTCTAATTAAATCATTATATATATAATTAATCGAATAAATCATTTGATTTTAGCGGATATCTCTAAAATGGAATATTGTCAAATAAATTTATCAGAGGAAAGATTGAAGGCTTTTGTATATGCTGTTAAAAATCAATATTGGTATCAAATGTACATTGATGACTTACCTATTTGGGGTAATATTCACACACAATATTTAATATTATTTATTATTAAATTATGTTTTGTATACTATCTATTGGTTTTATCTTTTGTTGACAGGTGTTGTGGGGGAACCAGATGAAAATAATGGGGTAGTTTCGTATTACATTTGGACGCACAAAAAATTTGATATAGGATATAATGGTAAACAAATAGTCGATGTCAATTTAACAAGTGATAACAAAGTTAAACTTGTACAAGGTGCTCAAATACCATTCAGTTATGAAGTTAACTGGAAAAAGAGCAATATTAAATTTGCAGATAGATTTGATAAGTACCTGGATGCTAGTTTCTTTCAACACAGAGTAAGATCTTGCATCATTATATATAAATTATTTTTATATCATTAGATTTTATAATATTATATTTCTTTTTCTCTAGATTCATTGGTTCAGTATTTTTAATAGTTTTATGATGGTTATTTTCCTTGTCGGACTTGTATCCATGATATTGATGAGAACTTTAAGAAAGGATTATGCGAGGTACAGCAAAGATGAAGAAATGGATGATATGGAAAGAGACTTGGGAGATGAATACGGATGGAAGCAAGTACATGGGGATGTTTTTCGTCCAGCTAGTCATGCAATGCTATTTTCAGCTCTCATAGGAACCGGATATCAGGTACTTTAATAAATTTATTATATCTGAATAAATTTAAACGAGAATAAATAGATTATTTGATATATTTGTATATTACAGGTTACTGTTGTTGTCCTCAGCGTAATTATTTTTGCTATTCTCGGAGAACTTTATACAGAACGGGGTTCTATGCTATCAACTGCAATATTCGTCTATGCAGCTACCTCACCCATAAACGGTTACGCAGGTGGTGGTTTGTACGCACGAATGGGTGGACGTGTTTGGATCAAACAAATGATCCTTAGCGCGTTTATGTTACCAATTATGGTCTGTGGAACTGCATTCTTCATTAATTTTATTGCCATGTACTATCATGCTAGTAGAGCTATTCCTTTCGGTTCAATGGTAAATATCTTTTATGAATGTAATGTGATCTGGTATTCTATTATAGTTATCAATTCTTTGATAAAACTTTATATTATTTTCATAGGTGGCAGTGACATGTATTTGTATATTTGTCATTTTACCACTAACGTTAGTGGGCACTATTTTGGGACGTAATCTTGCTGGAACACCTGACGCACCATGTAGAGTAAATGCAGTTCCAAGACCAATACCAGAAAAAAAATGGTTCATGGAACCATTGGTTATAATAATGCTTGGTGGAATCTTACCATTCGGATCTATTTTCATTGAAATGTATTTTATTTTCACCTCCTTCTGGGCATATAAAATTTATTACGTTTATGGTTTTATGTTGCTAGTGTTTATCATTTTAATGATAGTGACCGTTTGCGTCACTATTGTATGTACATATTTCTTATTGAATGCTGAAGATTACCGATGGTATTTATGATACTTTTGAGTTATATGTTATATGAAATATGTTTATTTGAATTTATTCATGAGATATATTTTATTATAGGCAATGGACAAGTTTTCTTGCAGCAGCTTCAACAGCCGGATATGTGTACATTTATTCATTTTATTATTTCTTCTTCAAGACTAAGTAAGTATATGGAGATGTTTGCTTATATTTTCTAAGTTAATATGTTTATTTTATTTCTTTTCAGAATGTACGGTCTCTTCCAAACAGCATTTTACTTTGGATATATGGCACTATTCAGTCTGGTCTTAGGTATAATGTGTGGTACAGTTGGTTATATCGGTACTAGTGCATTTGTACGAAAAATTTATTCTATAGTCAAGATAGACTAATGCAGTTTTAGTGAAACTTATGTACTGTGGGATTTAAAAAAGTAGGAACTTGATTCGTACGGCGTACTGCTCTCGGTGACGAACATTTGCGAACGTGTGATGTGTCTTTACAAGACAGTATTTCCGTTTGATTATATATAAAAAAAAATATATATAATTGTCTTTCTTTCTAACGAGTATATTAATTTTTTTTAGGTATCAACATATATAATAATAAGAATAATGATAATAATAATATTAATTACAACGAAATAATGTTTGATAATCAAACAAGTGTAATTTATTATCAAATATATCATATTCATATGATTATTAGTTCATAGTGGGTTCGCATTCTAATCGAGAACAGTTCGCGATGAATGATTGGTACGGCAATGATCATGATTATTCTATAATTATACGGTTATAAAATCTAAAAAATATCATGATCAGACTAAATTGATGTCATACGAATGGTCGATTTTTTAAATTGTGCAGATACGAACGTTACAATTTGCTTCTTATAGACAAAATTTCATTAGATTCTAAATATTGTAAATTTGAAATTTATTTTAAAAATACAATTTTATGTACGTATAACTTCCATTTTGCGCAACATAATTCTGTCGTTTTGTCCTGCATTAAAATTATTTTCTATAAAGATTATTTTATTCCTTGTTATGGCAATATATAATTTAAAAAAAACATCCTGTGTGTGTGTGGGAGAGAAGAAAAGTAATAATGTCCTAATAAATGTTCTAATAATATATTAAATATTCTATAGTATAAACGAACCTGCTTCCTAAATATTATTTTCTTTTTTTTTCCTTTTTTTTCTTTTTTTGTTATTGTTTCCAATGCAAGTACAGTACCACTGTTGGAAATAAATATTGTTTGTAGTGATTAATATAAAATGCTAATATATTATTATTATTCTTTATCACACTTACACATTATAACAATCAATTGTACTTTGATACAAACGCTTTGACAAATGTATAAATTTAATACTAATTTCTTAATTACACAATGATACATTATAAATAATCACTAAAATTATACTAATTTGTATTTAAGTAGGTAAACAAAAATTAAGTAACAGATATAATTATATATATATATATATATATGACATTATTATAACTGCTTCTTTAAGAATTTTATAATATACTTGTATAACGTTATTTGTTCAGCTATGTTGCTGCGTTATTGCTTAAATAGCAGAAATTAGTACAGTACTATAGAAAGTTCTTAGGAAAAAAGAAAAATGACGATCTTTGCATCTTTTTTATTGAAAAAGGATTAATAAAACAAAGATAAGGATAAATAGAAACAAATCCATTTGTGCTATTTAATGGTATCGGAATAAGAGATTGTACTGGTTGTATTTTCTTGAAAAGAATATTATTGAGTGGAAGATATCAACGAATATAATTGAATGAACGGATGATTTGTTATTATACGCAAAAGGTAGACAAAATATACAATTTCTACGTAAAACATTATTTCGTGTATATTTCATTTTTTCATATTATACTATCGTAAGAATACATGCTATAAATGTGAATTCAACAAATTTAATATTATTATATCACGCGATTTCGATTGCGTTATAAAATAATCCGAATTATTTTATATAAAAAATAAAATAATATAAAAGATGTGTATGAAATAAAGAAAAAAAAAGTTTTTCTAATCTTATCAATATACGAAAGAAATTGTCATTTTAATAATAACATGTAAATTTTATTAAATATAAATCTTTTTTATTATTTTCTTACTATATTTAACACGGATTAATATTAGAAAATATAATAAATTTGTATAATTTATTTATTTTAAAAAAGACCTATTTTTAAAGTAGCCACGTCGCTGATTTGACTTCAGTAGTGCCTGTGTGGCAGAATACGTTGATTTGTCGTAGAATTTGATCCATTCACGTGTCGGGGCGCACACGTCGACGCAGTTGGCATGAGATAAGTGAAACTACGACATCGTATACTCGTCCGCAGAATTCAAAAGACGTTTTATTCGGTTACATTTAATTTAACTTAATTGTTTAAAAGAATTTTTAATTGGTTTTTTAATAAACTAACCTTTTCGGTAAACGAGAAACAATTAAAATGGCACCGAAACAGAGAATGCGCATCGCCAACGAAAAAGCCACGAAGAATATCAATCTTCGTGGAAATGTACCAAAATCATCGGTAAGTTTAAATATTGTTTTTTTTATATCTTTCGTTTAATTTATTATTTTTTAAATGAAATAATCGCGAGTAACATAAGGTAGTTAAAAATTTGACATATCTCTTGACAAATGAATTATCTATCGAATATATTGAGGTTATAATTGATAACATCTGTGATAGATGTATCGCGTGTATGTTATCGGTTTTATTTGTTAATTGTAAAATTGTATTGCATAAAAATATTAAATTTAAAATTATTTGATGTCTCGTGTTTTATATATGTCGGTTTTAAAAGTTAATATATTGATGATACTATGGTAATCACTGCCATATGTAACACAATAAATACTCAAATTTAACAATTACATTTGTCGGTTATATTCATTTGTTCTTTAAACGAAAATAATTAAAATATGTAACATTATTAAAATTATATTTAGATTATTCATCTTGCACTTAACTTATGGTTTGTTATAAATAAATAAAATATATGTATCTATATTTTATATATGTATTAGAAACCACAAGACGAAGGATCACCAGTTGGACCGTGGCTATTAGCACTTTTCATATTTGTTGTTTGTGGATCAGGTAAATATTTACGTGAATCTATTAAAAGTGATAAATCCATCTACTTATATGAATACTTTTTTATATTTTTAATTTCATTTGTTTCAGCGATCTTTCAAATAATTCAAAGTATTAGAATGGCTTAAAAGGATGATAAATGTGAAAGAAAAGGGTAAATGATATCGTTACTGTTGATATAATGAACTATTTATAAAAATATCAATCTACAAATGCTGTCATCATTTTTCAACAAACTAACAATTTTGAGACGGGTCTAAGTGGTACAGTGAAGGTGAAAATGTCTTCATACGTACAAGTTTTTAATATCACCTAGAGAATTCTATTTTTCCTTTGCTAATGGCTCAAAGATTATTTATAAAAAAAAAATGAATTTAGCATTTATAAGCGTTTAACTTAAACTCACACCATGCATTGATGGAAGTGAAGATTGTACATTTTATAGAATATTACACGGTATAATTATATTCTAATCGTCAAAAGGTGTATATTTTACTCGACCTTTTATTCAGAAGCATTTTCATACTGTTTATGACATTTGTAATGAATCTATTTCAGAAATTTTTTCAAAATGTTTACGTAATGTGCACTCTTCCATTAATGCATTTATAGTAAATAATTTGTATATAAATAAACAATTCGTCGTATAAAAATCTATAAAGCATTCCACTCTGAGCAGTTGATAGCTTTTCTTTAACCATGTATTTAGTGGCCTTGAAAGTATATTGGGTCATTATATTTATATACGTGTATAAGTATATACCATGCATACGTAATGTTTAAAGTTATTTATCTATATTATATATTTGCTACTAAGAGTTCTCTTATTTTTTTTATTTTTTTTTTTTTTAAATAAAAAAATATAATAAAATAAACATGCAATTGCAGGATGTAGAATCACATTTTTTTAATTGATTTTCTATATGTTCATTTTATATTTATGTAACTGGGAACATAGTGCATTATCTTTAAAAAAAGTGTTTTATTTTTTATTAATGTAAAAGA